TCCTTCCGCCCGTCTTGAGCCGAAGTGCCCACGAAAGTTACGCAGGGGACCAATGCGCATGCAGGCGTGGTGTCGCACCGCATTTGGATTGATCCCCGCTCCCAGGTTCAGGTAGGCGTAGGGTCGCACCGCATTCCCGTTAGAGCCGCGCACACTGCTAAGCTACACTGCTGTTGACTCCTATGCCCAGCTGGTGCAGGCTACGTGGTGCAGGCTATCGCGTCTGGCTGCATTCGTTGCTGTATGGAACGGCGGTAAAACTGTTAAGGGATCATTTTCGGTGTGCCGGCCTATCCTAAGTCTCAGGGGCGGCAGCGGGGCAGACAGGTTGCTTTTTTACACCAATCCGAATATCGTATGATTCACTCTACATGGTCCCCTGGGCCGCACGCCAGACAGAACGACGTTCACAAAAAAACGGCCGCAGTACGAACCAACAAGCAAAGGTCTCCAATGTATAATTCGGTTGACGTTCAGAGAAATTGGTGAACCCTACACGATTTGGTCGGGCACAGCTTTGCAGATACCCCTCACACACGGGTGAGGGGGGTGAGGAGGAGGACGAGGAGGAGGATGAGGAGGAGGAGGAAAAGGAGGAGGAGGAGGAGGAGGAGGAAAAGGAGGAGGAGGAGGGAGGAGGAGGAGGAGGAGGAGGAGGAGGAGGAGGAGGAGGAGGAGGAGGCGGAGGCGGAGGCGGAGGCGGAGGCGGAGGCGGAGGAGGAGGAGGCGGAGGAGGAGGAGGAGGAGGAGGAGGAGGAGGAGGAGGAGGAGGAGGAGGAGGAGGAGGAGAGGAGGAGGAGGAGGAGGAGGAGGAGGAGGAGGAGGAGGAGGAGGAGGAGGAGGAGGAGGAGGAGGAGGAGGAGGAGGAGAGAGGAGGAGGGGAGGAGGAGGAGGAGGAGGGAGGAGGAGGAGGAGGAGGAGGAGGAGGAGGGAGGAGGAGGAGGAGGAGGAGGAGGAGGAGGAGGAGGAGGAGGAGGAGGAGGAGGAGGGAGGAGGGAGGAAGGGAGGGAGGGAGGGAGGGAGGGAGGGAGGGAGGAGGGGAGGAGGGCGGGCGGGAGGGCGGGCGGGAGGGCGGGCGGGCGGCGGGCGGGCGGGCGGGCGGGCGGGCGGGAAGGGAGGGAGGGAGGGAGGGAGGGAGGCGGGCGGGCGGGCGGGCGGGCGGGCGGGCGGGCGGGCGGGCGGGCGGGCGGGCGGGCGGGCGGGCGGGCGGGCGGGAGGGAGGGAGGGAGGGAGGGAGGGAGGAGGAGGAGGAGGAGGAAGAATAATAATAAGAATAAGAAGAAACATAAGAAGAATAATAATAAGAAGAATAATAAGAAGAATAATAAGAATAATAGTAAGAAGAATAAGAAGACGAATAATAATAAGACGAATAATACTAAGAATAAGAAGAATAATAATAAGAAGAAGAAACAGAAGACGAATAATAATAAGAAGAAGAATAATAAGAATAATAATAATAATAATAATCAGAAGAATAATAATAATAAGACGAAGAAGAATAAGACGAACAATAATAATAATAAGAAGAAGAAGACGAAGAAGACGAAGACGACGAAGACGAATAATAAGAAGAAGACGAATGCTAAGAAGAATAATAAGAATAAGAATAATAATAAGAAAAATAAGTATACTAATAAGAAGACGAATAATAATAATAAGAATAATAATAGTAATAAGAAGAAGACGAATAAGAAACATAAGAAGAAGAAGACGAATACGAATAATAATAATACGAATAATAAGACGAATAATAAGAATAATAAGAATACTACGAATAATACGAATAATAATAATACTAATAATAATACGAAGAAGAATAATAGGAATAATAATAATAAGAAGAAGAATAAGACTAATAATAAGAATACTAAGCATAAAAAGAATAATAATAATAATAATATTAAGAATAATAATAATAAGAAGAAGAATAATACTACGAATAATAATAAGAATACTACTAATAATAAGAAGAAGAATAAGAATAATAATAAGAAGAATAAGAAGACTAATAATAATAATAAGAATAAGAAAATTAAGAATAATAAGACGAAGAAAAGGAAGAAGAAGAGGAGGAGGAGGAGGAGGAGGAGGAGGCGGAGGCGCAGGGGGAGGCGGAGGCGGAGGCGGAGGCGAGGCGGCGGAGGCGGCGGCGGAGGAGGCGGAGGAGGCGGAGGAGCGGAGGAGGTGGTTGAGGTGGAGGAGGAGAAGGAGGAGGAGGAGGCGGAGGAGGCGGAGGAGGAGGAGAGGAGGAGGAGGAGGAGGAGGAGGAGGAGGAGGAGGAGGACGAGCAGGAGGAGCAGGAGGAGCAGGAGGAGCAGGAGGAGCAGGAGGAGCAGGAGGAGCAGGAGGAGCAGGAGGGGCAGGAGGAGCAGGAGGAGCAGGAGGAGCAGGAGGAGCAGGAGGAGCAGGAGGAGGAGGAGGAGGAAAAGGAGAAGGAGGAGGAGGAATAATCATGTCATAGTCGTAGTATTAAGAAAAATAAGATTACTGATATTACTACGAATATCAATAATAACATCAAGAACAAGCATACGAACATGAAGACTACTAATACTAATACTAATACGAAGAATGATACTAATGATACCAACAAGAAGACGAATAATCATAAGAGTACTACTAATAAGAAGAAGGAGGAGGAGGACCAGTGTAAACCCAAGGGTCACCAACGATGTTGGAATAAGCCTTCCCCCAATCTTCCTCGACCTGCCTCGTTGGACGACATCCTTTTGAAGACCCTTCTTGCCAGAACGCCATTCCTGGGATCTCAGCTCCGCGAATCCATCGTAACTGTTGCGCCATAAAACTCGTGAATCCTTCCAAGACATGATATATGGTACGCCGCTCATGGAAATCAGTGACATCCGGGCAATTTTTAACAAGAGTGTGCTCGGCACTGAGGCGAGAACCACATTTTGAAAAGGAACCGCTGTCAATCCGTGCAACTTTTGCAAAGTTGGAAACGAATGTGCGCCGCGCGAAGGCGAGAGCCACATTTTGGAAAGGACCCGCCCTCAATCTGCGAAGCTTTCGCATTTGTTATAACGGATGTGCGCGGCGCTAAGGCGAGAGCCACATGTTGAAAACGACCCGCCCTCAATCCGTAAAGCTCTTGCACATGTTAAAAACGAATGTGCGCGGCGCTGAGGCGAGAGCCACACTTTGAATACCACCCGCCCTTCATCCGTGAAACTCTTGCAACAAAATGTGCGCGGCGCTAGGGCGAGAGCCACATTCTGAAAAGAAACCGCCCTCAATCCGTGAAACCTTTGCAAAGTTTGAAAACGAATGTGCGCCGCGCTACGGCGAGAGCCACATTTTGAAAGCCACCCGCCCGCCATTTGTGCAGCTCATGCAAATGTTTAAGCCTCAGGGATGGGGAGGAGCAGGAGCAGGAGCAGGAGCAGGAGCAGGAGCAGGAGCAGGAGCAGGAGCAGGAGGAGGAGGAGGCGGAGGAGGAGGAGGAGGAGGAGGATGCGGAGGCGGAGGAGCTGGAGGCGGAGGCGGAGGCGGCGGCGGCGGAGGAGGAGGAGGAAGGAGGAAGGAGGAAGGAGGAAGGAGGATGGCGGAAGGAGTAGGAGGAGTAGGAGGAGTAGGAGGAGTAGGAGGAGTAGGAGGAGTAGGAGGAGCAGGAGGAGCAGGAGGAGTACGAGGAGTACGAGTAGGATGAGTAGGAGGAGCAGGAGGAGTAGGAGGAGTTCGAGGAATAGGATAAGTAGGAGGAGGAGGAGGAGGAGGAGAGGAGGAGAGGAGGAGGAGGAGGAGGAGGAGGAATAGGAGTAGGAGGAGCAGGAGGAGCAGAGGAGGAGGAGGAGTAGGAGAAGCAGGAGGAGCAGGATGAGGAGGGTGAGGAGGATGAGGAGGATGAGGAGGAGGAGGAGGAGCATCAGGAGGATGAAGAGGAGGAGGAGGAACAGGAGCAGGGGGAGCAGAGGGAGCAATGGGAGCAGGAGGAGCAGGAGGAGCAGGGGGAGCAGGAGCAGGAGGAGTAGGAGGAGCAGGGGGAGCAGTGGGAGCAGTGCGCGGAGGAGAAGGAGGAGGAGGAGGAGGAGGAGGAGGAGGAGGAGGAGGAAGAGGAGGAGGAGGAGGAGGAGGAGGAGGGGGAGGGGGAGCAGGGGGAGCAGAACGCGGAGGAGCAGGAGGGCGGGTCCGCCGACCCTCGCCTGGTCCGGTGCAGGAGCGACCAGTGCTCACCTCCGGCTACAAGGCCGTGCTGCACGTCCATGTCGCGTGCGAGGAGGGCTTCCCTCTCCCTCCTTCTTCTCGCCGACTTCACGTCCATGTGGCGAGTCATCTTCAGCAAGTGGCCTTGGCGACGCGCACGAGCGCCTGTAGGCTGCATCGCCTATCCTCCATGATGACGTCGAACGGTATCGTTGCATCCAGGTCCAGCCAGAAGCATCTGGGATGTTCGCCATCCTGCGCCCCTCCCCGTGCCGCCCACCCGTGTCTCGCTCCCTGGCCTTTCCTCCTTTCCTATTCTCCTTTCGACAGGGCTGGAGTGCTGCTGGAGGTAGGAGTGGCGCACGTAGACACTACTCTGTGGTGATATGGGTGCTAGAAAATGCGTTCCACATCTATGCGCGGTCAGCAATCTAACAATACAATTGGGACGTAGAGTAGTGGAGGATGAGGAGGATGAGGAGGAGGAGGAGGAGGAGGAGGAGGAGGAGGAGGAGGAGGAGGAGGAGGAGGAGGAGGAGGAGGAGGAGGAGGGGGAGGGAGGAGGAGGAGGAGGAGGAGGAGGAGGAGGAGGAGGAGGAGGAGGAGGAGGAGGAGGAGGAGGAGGAGGAGGAGGAGAGAGGAAGGAGGAGGAGGAGGAGGAGGAGGAGAAGGTGGAGGAGGAGGAGGAATAGCAGGAGGAGGAGGAGAGGAGGAGGAGGAGGAGGAGGAGGAGGAGGAGGAGGAGGAGGAGGAGGAGGAGGAATAGGAGGAGGAGGAGGAATTAGGAGGAGGAGGAGGAGGAGGAGGAGGAGGAGGAGGAGGAGGAGGAGGAGGATGAGGAGAGGAGGAGCTCGCTCCTGGAAACGGTGGGGGGCTCCCAGTGGTACCTACTAGAGGCCACCCCCTCCTTCTTTGTGCCCCCCTGCTGTTCCTTGCTCGTGCATGACCGCTCGTGATGCGTAATTGTTAGTTGTTATGACACTGAAGGAAGCGTTCTGTCCCCGCAGTCCTTCGCAGGCAGGTAGGCAGGCCGGGGGAGCAGGGGAGCAGGAGGAGGAGGAGGAGGAGAAGGAGGAGGAGGAGGCGGAGGAGGAGGAGTAGGAGGAGGAGGAGGAGGAGGAGGGAGGAGGAAGAGGAGGAGGAGGAGGAGGAGGAGGAGGAGGAGGAGGAGGAGGAACAGCGCCCCGCGCTTCAGGAGTGTGAGATTTTGAAGCTGTACGACTGTATTAGCATGGCGGACCTGCGGTCCAAGGATTTGATGACAGTGCCATATCTCTTTTGACGTTCTGTGCTGCCGGCATGCTTTTCCGTATGCGATGGGGGGGGATCATTGGCGCGCTGTGGTGTGCAGGAGCAGGGTAGGCCTTCTCGGTTCTTCTCCTCGTCTCCACTTTTCTGCCGTGCTCATCCTTTGCGTCCCCGTCCTCCAGGCCCAGCTCCGCTCCTGGCCCTACCACTACCACCTCGCGCCCGCGCCCCGTTCCACCCTTCATGCGCTTCTCCTATTCCCCGCCCCTCTCTTCCGCCTTTCCTCCCTCCTCCTTCCTCCTTCCTCCTTCCTCCCTCCTCCTTCCTCCTCCTTATCCTCCTGCTCCCCCCCTCCTCCTCGTCGTCGTCCTCCTCCTCCTCCTCCTCCTGCTCACCCTTCTCCTTCCTCCTCCCCCTGCAGCTGATCAGGGTCATTCTTCTCTCCTTCTTCTCTCCCGGCGTGTCTGTCGTGCAGCGGCGCCCCCGCCTCTTTCGCGCAGCTCACGTGCAGGCCCGCGCACTTTGCTATCTGTCCTGCGCATGCTCGCCGGTCTTTTGCCCAGGACGTCTTCGGTCCTTCCACAGTTCGGCGGCGGGCGAGGGGGGGAAATGAGAAGGAGAAGGCCTTCTCTCAGAAGGCGGCGGGACTGTCAGAAGCCCTCGCGCCTTCTGAGAAGTTGTCTGTGTCTTCGCGGAAGGCTTAGAAAACTTCTCAGAAGGCCAGGGGACTTCCGAGCCTTCTGAGAAGGCCTTCTCCTTCTCACTTCCTCCCTCGCCTGCCGCCGAACAGTGGTGCTGCCGCCTCAGATCTCCGACGATCTGATTTCTTATGATTTTTTCAGTCAGGCCAAATTTCCTTGATTTCGTCTTCCGGGGCCCGTCATTGGGCCCCAGGACCATCAAAATGGATCCTGGGCGCACAACTACAGTCGGACCGAGGTCTAAAATTTAGGTCGGTTCGGGGAGGGTACCCTACTGTTCTCAGTATCGTTTAACCGATCCCCATCCCCATGCTCATTTTCTTAGAGACCCCCACCAAATTACACCCTCAGTCGGGGATACACCCGTCGAAACCCGAAGGATACGGCCTGTATCCCCATCTGGTGGGGTAAATCGGCCAGTGGGGCCCGCCCCACGCTGGTGGGGATGGGGATCGGTTAAGCCATACTCATGTTCTTCGTGTCTGTTGGATGTCCTTGTGCATCCTGCGGGATGGTCACCTTGAAGGTTCTTCGAATTGGGCCGGCGGAGGGTCTTCCTTTCAGGCTCAAGCCACTGCTCTCACAGATGCAGTCAGATGGGTTCCAGAGATTTGTGGGGATGTGTGAGAACATGCCAGCAAGCTTGTATAGGAAGCTCCTGTAGTCAACCAGGCGACTCGAAGAGGGAAGCGGCGTCGTGAAGAGGGCCTCGTGTTTTTGAGGGAAAGGATGTTCTTCTGCCCTGGGTCTGACTGTACCCCCCTGGGAAGGGGTCGGGACATCTGGGGCCGCGGATTGCAGAGATCAGGTCGGAGGACGTCAGGGGCAGCAGCGTTGGCCACATCTCGGGGCCGGTGTGCCAAGGATTGCAAAAAACGAAGATTGCAAAAAATTGCAAAAAAACCCAGGATTGCAAAAAAGGATTGCAAAAAAACCCCAGGATTGCAAAAAAACCCAGGATTGCAGAGATCAGGTCGGAGGACGTCAGGGGCAGCAGCGTTGGCCACACCTCGGGGCCGGTGTGCCCTGCTCCCGCCGTGCCACGGAGGTGGCGCTCTCGCCCCCGCGCGGGCCACACTGCTCCCCACCACGGGGGGGGTGCGAAGTCCCTGTGGACGGGGCGGCGTGGGCACCACAGGCCTCCCTAAAACCAAAGGTGGGCACTACGAGCCTACCACCACCAACGGAGGCACACCATATTTCCTCCACCCTTCATTCCATTCAACATTCAGTGAACTTCTCAGTTTGATATTTCAACCTCTCTCGAGTGCCTTCCTCGTCGTGGCCGTCCTCCTCCTTTCCCCTCCTCTGCCTTCCCCTGATGCCCCTGCTCTTCCTGCTTTTGCCGCTCCTTCTTCATTCTTCACCTCCTTCACCTCCTCCCGTCGCGCCAACCGATTCTTCAGGCACAAGTGCGGGTCCCTTAGGCAAAGCCTAATTGGGGGAAAACCCTTCAGCTGCCATTTGAGGATCAAGGTTCTTTAGGACACCTCAAGTGGCGGACCCAAGAGGTTCATACGCAATAGGAAGCGAGAGGTAGGACGTCAGAGGTGGCGCGAGCGCGCCAAGCTTGCATCTATCCTCTCGCCTCCCGTCCCGTTCCCTATCCTCCCCTGTCCTCCCCTCCCCTCCTCTCCCCTTTCCTCCCCTCCCCTCCTCTTTACTGTGGTAGTCATGGACCCTCTCTCCCATCGGGTAGATTTCGGTTGAGCGCGGAGCCGTGTTGGCATCGGCAACGCTTTGGCTGCTGGCTGATTCAGCTCGCTTACCTCAGATCGGCCCGCGAAGCTAAGGTCCAAAAGGTCCCCTCCCCTCTTCTTTCCTCTCATCCGTTGGGGGGCTCTAGGTTCGCGGTTCGCTATGACACCCGTCGGCGGATGTAGAGAACATGCCAGCGCGATGAGAAGGGATGGATTGGAGGGGTAGGATGTCAGATACGGCGCGAGCGCCTCTCTTCATGCACGAAACACACGCCGAAGCAAGCTTCGATGCTTCTAAGCGGGAAGCTGCCCTGGCCCCTTCGGCCTACGGGGGCTCATTTCGAGGGCTTGGGTGCCTCAGGGGCCTCTGCGTCTGACAGTAAGTTCTTGGTCGGCGACCCACTTCCGCATCCCACTGAGTTTGATTTTTCGTTCTACCCTCCCACTTCCGCATCCCACTGAGTTTTGATTTTTCGTTCTACCCTTGCCGAGGGTGCTTCGTGCGAGCCTCAGCTCCATGTCCTCTAGCGAGGTCCAGCTCGCAACCTCCCTGTGCTCGCGGGGTGCTTGGAGGTTCGGTCTCAGGCAAAGAGCGCCTCCCCTCCCCCCTGCGTGCCTCTGTTCTTTCCTGGTGTGGGCCTCTGGAGCCTCACTTTTTTTGTTTCAATTTCCTTTCCCTCGGCTTCGTGCGCCTGAGGTGCGCTGACGACGACGACGCCGACGCCGACACCGACGCCGACGCCGACGCCGACGCCGACGCCGACGACGACGACGAAGACGACCACGACGACGCCGACGCCGTCTCCTTCGCCAACGACGCCGACGCCGACGCCGACGCCGCCGACGACGACGGCGGCGACGACGACGGCGCCAACTGCGACGACAAAATCGACGCCGACGCCGACGCCGACGACGACGATCACGACGTCGCCGACGCCGACGCCGACGCCGACTCAGACGTCGACGCCGACGCCGACGCCGACGACGACGACGACGACCACGACCACGACGACGACGCCGACGTCGATGACGACGACGCCGACGACGGCGACGCCGACGACGTCGACGTCGCCGACGACGACCATGACCACGACGACGACGCCGACGCCGACGCCGACGACGACGATGGCGACGCCGCCGACTCCGTCGCCGACTTTGACGACGACGACGACGACCACGATGACGACGAGGACGCCGACGACGACAACGACCACGACGCCGCCGACGACGATGACGGCGACGATGCCGACGCCGACGACGATGGTGACGACGGCAACGACGCCGACGACGCCGACGCCGACGCCGACGCCGACGCCGACGCCGACGACGACGATGACGACCACGACCACGACCACGACCACGCCGACGCCGACGCCGCCGCCGCCGCCGCCGCCGACTGCGACGCAGGCGCCGACGACGACGACGACGACGACCACGACGACGACGCCCACGATGACGACGATGAGGACGTCGCCGGCGCCGACGCCGACGCCGACGCCTACGACGCCGACGCAAACGACGACCATGAACACGACGACGCCGCCGACGCCGACGCCGACGACGACGATGTCGACGAAGCCGACGCCGTCGCCGACGCCGACGCCGACGACGACGACCACGATGACGACGACGCCGACGACGACAACGACCACGACGCCGCCGACGACGATGACGGCGACGATGCCGACGCCGTCGCCGACGCCGACGTCGACGCCGACGCCGACGCCGACGCCGACGCCGCCGACGGCGACGACGCCGTCGCCGACGCCGCCGACGACGACGACGGCCGTGACGACGCCGACGCCGACGACGAAAACGACGCCGACGCTGATGACGACGAGGACGACGGGCACGACGACGACGCCGACGCTGACTCCGACGCCGATCACGACGACGACGACCATGACCACCACGACGACGACGACGCCGCCCACACCGACGACCACGACGCCAACGACGACGACGACGCCGCCGACGACGATGACGATGACGATGACGTCGCCGACGCCGACGCCGACGCCGACGCCGACGCCGACGACGACGCCGTCCGCGACGTCGGCGACGGCGACGACACCGACGCCGACGCCGACGACGACGAAGATGACGACAACGATGCCGACGACGACGCCGACGCCGACGCCGACGCCGACGCCACCGACGACGAGGACGACGAGCACGACGACGACGCCGCCGCCGCCGACGCCGACGCCGACGACCATGACCGCGACGCCGACGACGACGACGACGACCCACGACCCACGACGTCGCCGACGCCACGACGACGCCGACGCCGACGCCGACGACGACGACGCCGACGCCGACGCCGAAGCCGACGCCGACGACGACGACGACGCCGACGACGATGACGACGACGACGACGACCACGATGCCGTCGCCGACGACGACGACGAAGCTGACGACAACGACGCGGACGACGACGCCGACGCCGATGCCGACGCCAACGCCGACGCCGACGCCGACGCCGACGCCGACGACGACGACGACCACGGCGGAGACGAAGACGACGACGACCACGACGACGACGCCGCCGACGACGATGACGACGACGACCACGACGACGATGCCGCCGACGATTACCACGACGAAGCCGACCGCGACGACGACGACGATGACGACGTCGCCGACGCCGACGCCGTCGCCGACGCCGATTCCGATGCCGGCGACGACCACGACGACGACGCCGCCGCCCCCGACGCTCACGCCGACGCCGACGACGCCGACGCCGAACCCGACGCCGACGCCGACGACGACGACGACGACGCTGCCGACGCTGAACGCGACGCCGACGCCGACGCCGACGCCGACCACGACGACGACGCCGCCGACGCCGACGACGCCGACGCCGACGACGGTTGCTCGGCGTCTGACGCACCGCGCCGAGCCCCTGCCTGCCCGTGCGGCGTGCGGCCGCTCCGCCGCCGCCGCGGCGGCCGCCCTGCGGAGGGATGCCCGCTGCCTCGGACGCGGCCCTGGGCAGGGTCGCCGATTTTCTAGGCCTCCCAGATGGGGTCGGAGTACGTAGATGTGGTCGGTGGATCGTGCCACATCGCCGATGCATCGACGATGCGGCTCGATGCGGAGACCGTGTTTCCACACGCTGACGTCGCCAATGCATCGACGGTGCATCGCCGATGCATCGGGGTGCATTGGCGATGCGGCGCGATCCTTCGACCCCATCTACTCGAACCCCATCTAGGAGGCCTCTAGATTTGAGCATCATCTGCACCATCTGTCACCGAGCGCTTTCCACTACTCGCAAAGTGCCTGCTCGCAAGCGTCCGAAGAGCACTTGTTTGCCTCGATGTCATGTATGGTACATTGACCGCGGCGGATCCAGGCCATTTGCGAGCAGTTACTTTGCGAATGGTGGAACGCGCGTGTCTAATCTGAGGCGGTGCCGGGATGACGGATTTTTTTGGATTGCGACGCTGAGTAGGCTGGGAGCCTGTCAGCAGAGGCCGGCACTCCACTCGCAGAACAGTAGTGAGGCTGGCAATATTTGCTGGGGCCCCAAGGTCGACACTACAGTACGGCAGTAAGTTAAAGGCACACTACCAGTCAGGGCACTCCAGCGAGCTGCCATGCAATAGCAGGCAGCCCAGGACACAAGAGGGAGGGAGGAAGGAGGAGGGACGGGGAGGGAGGACGTGGAGAGGAGGACGAGATGTACCTTGCCTCCCCCCCTCCCCCCTCCTCGGCAGGCGAAGAAGCCGGAGAAGAACCCGCGCTTCGCCCGGGAGAATTCTTTGGTCGGCCCGCGCCTCTCTGGGGGAGGCCCCATCGTGTCGAAGGGGAAGGGGGGTCGGGAAATGTTCGTCGGTTCTTGGGGGATTCGCGTTTCGTGCTCCGCTGGGGCCCTAGAATTAGAGCACTCGTTTTTCATAGTGTCGCCACAGGCCACGATCCCACTCGTTTTGCATAGGTTTGTCCGAATACAGGTCTTCCACTGGCCACGAGTGGCTAATGCGCCGCCAGGCGGGCAGCAGAGCCGTCGGAAGTGTATCACCGTGAATTGCTTCACCATTTTGCGAACGACCCTCTGACGTGCCTCGCTTCCTCTCTCTCTGTCTCTCGGGGATTGTCTCGCCGCGGGGTGCTTTCCAGCGGCTGCGCTTCGTCGAGAGCTTTCCAGGGATGCTCAGATCGTCCCGATAGGCCGCCGGAGGCCCGAGTTGTGATCCAGAAATCATCAGACATCGAAGAGGAGGTCGGGGGCGTCAAGAGGTGAGGGGCAACAATTAGGGGGGGATAGGCTCAGCGGGGGTTGCATTGACCCTCAATCGCCCATTCGTCGCCAGAAGTGGCCCGGCTGCAGCCCACCCCGCCCAGGACCGATCGCCGACTCCAGGTCGACGTTTCCCTCCCTGGGCTGGTCCCCTTCCCGACGTTGCCCCTCGGCCTCGGGCGCTTTCGTTGGTGCTCGGCCGTTTTTTCCGGCCTCGGGGGAGGCTCTCCAGCTGCTGCGCCTCGCCGAGAGCGTTCCCGGGGGTGCCCCGATCGCCCCGAGCGTCTGCCGCAGGTCCGAGATGTGACGGGCAACGAGGATCAGTCGGCTCGGGCGAAGGGCGGGGGATTGGGCAGGGGGAGGGTATGGGATCTGCCGCGTGCGGCTGATTTCGGCCCTGCCGCCGGGCGCTCTCCTCGGCACACTGGAGCCTCTGGCGCCGGGAGGCGCTGGAGAGACCAGTTGCGTGAGCTGATTCGCTACCCCTCTCCTTTGCTATGTCCTCCTTCCGAGGTGGGAATTTCTACATGACCACCGCCTGGAGGATCAACTTTCGGGGAACTCGGCAGGCGGTGGATGTGTATGTATGTTTGTATGTATGTATGTATGTATGTATGCATGTATGTATGTATGTAGGTAGGTAGGTAGGTAGGTATGTATGTATGTATGTATGTATGTATGTATGTATGTATATATATATATACATATATATATATATATATATATATATATTCGGGCCCCCCGGGGGCTCAAACATATCCATATCCACCGCCCGCTGGGGCACCAGGACGTCAGTTCCCAGGCGGTGGATATGGATGAATCCCCGTCTCGCACTCCTAGCGCCGCCCCGACGCGCGTCGGAGGGAGGGGACCTGTCCGCCCGCCTGCTCGTGAGAGTCCTCTTGGCCGCCCGGCTGGGGGTCCGCTCGAGCCAGCCCGACCGCTCATTTGGGTCTACCCGCCCGCTCGCTTGTCTGAGTTCGCCCGCCCATTAAAGATAAGGTTCCCTCAGTGGCACGATCGAAGACGAAGAGGGCAGGGCTCGAGAGGCTGGGTGCATCGAAACGCCTACGGCGAATCACCGCCGCCCCCTGCCTCTTGGAATCGCCCGTGTGTCCGAGCGTTGTAGCAAGAGCTCTGCCATGCTATCGGACCATGTGTCCCCCCAGCCGTTGTGGAAACCCTTCGGGGAACACTTGGGGGAGGATGGCGGGGAAGATCAGGAGGAGGAGGAGGAGGAGGAGGAGGAGGAGGAGGAGGAGGAGGAGGAGGAGGAGGAGGAGGAGGAGGAGGAGGAGGATGAGGGGGCGTCTTTGGAGCCTCTGTTGGGGCCTCCTGCTTCTTAGGAGTTTCCAGCTTCTTGGAAGCATCTTGGAGGCCTCCTTGGGCCTTGGTGGCCTCTTGGGGACACCTTTGGGGGCTTTTCGGGGGCTTCTTTGCCCGTCTTAGCGCGTTCCTGGCCAGTCTGACGCCGTCGGAAGCCGTTTTGGGGGCCTCTGTTGGCCGACTTGGGGCCCTCTTGGGCTGCTCCAGGGCCGTCTTGCAGGCTATCTTGAGCGTCGTGGAGGCCTCTTCGGCCGTCTTGGGGCCCTCTTGAGGCCGTCTTGGGGGTCTCTTGGGCCGGTCTGGGGCCATCTTGGAGGCCTCTTGGGCGATCTTGAGGCGATTTTTGTTGTGACTCTTGGGCCGTCTCGGGCCGTCGGAAGGCCGAAAAGAAGCAAATGCTAAAATCCTTCAAACACTGAAGGAAAATCACCGGACTTGGCCTCTTCGGGCCTTCCTGGAGGCTCTCTTGCGGGCCTCTTGAGCCGTCTTGGAGGCCTCTTGGGGGCCCCTTGCGCACCTTTTGGGCCGTCGCAGGCCATCTTGAGGCAATCTTGGGCCGTCTTGGGTGCACATTGGGGCCATGTTGGGATCTCTTGGGGTCATCTTGGCCGTGTTGGAGGCATCTTGGAGGCCATCTTGGGCCATCTTCGGACTCCATTTTGGGTTATCTTGGGCGAGGAAGGTATTGACATGTACATTTTCTGGGAGGTCTAGAAGAACCTAAAGCGGTTTGAAATCTGGCACGCCAGGCACTCCTTTGGCAAGCCAACAGGGGGCGGCGGACGACGGAAAACGCGCGTAGCGTCGCGATCCGTTAGCTGGGAGAAACAAGGGGGGGTGTGGCGGGGTCCCAATTCCGAGATGACGGAAATCGCGCGTAGCGTCGCGATCCGTTAGTCGGGAGAAATGACAAGGGGTGGGGGTGGGGGGGTAGGCAGGGGGCGTCCCAGGTGATGGCAAGCGCGCGACGCGTCGCGATCCGTTAGCCGGGAGAAATAACATGGGGGGTGGGGGGGTAGGCAGGGGGCGTCCCAGGTTCTGATGGCCCGCTTCCTTCTTTCAGTCCCAGAAGGGCCCCACACTGATTTTTGCATGTTTTTCGGGTTCTCTTTTTTCAGTCCCAGAAGGGCACCAGACGGCCCAAGAGGCCCCACAGATCGTCCCCAGACGGCCCCAGAGGCGCCCCAAAGGGGCCCAACACGGTCCAAGAGGGCCCCCAGACGGGCCCAAGACGGCCCAATATGCCCCAAAGATCGTCCCAAGACGGCCCCAGGGGCCCCCCAAAGGGGCCGAAAACGGTCCAAGAGGCCCCCAGATGGTTCAGATGGCCTCCAGACGGTCCGAGAGAGCCTCGAGACGGCTCCAGATTCCTTCAAGAGGGCCCCCGAGAGAACCTCAGGCGGCCACGCACATCGATTTCCCAATAGTTTCTCCATGCTTCTCGGGTTCTCCCCTTTTCAGTCCCTGAAGGGCCCTCCTCGGCGCCTCTTGGGGCGGACGGCTCTGCGTTTCGGTTCGTGGGCTATTCTTGGGGCCGTTTTGGGGCCCTCTTGTGCCGTCCTGGGGCTCTTTTGGGCCGTTTTGGGCGCCTCTGGGGCCTTCTCGGGTCGGTCTTGGGGGTCTCTTGGGACGTCTTGGAGCGTCGGAAGCTCGAAAAGTGGAGAACACACAGAGCATTGCATACATAAGCACAATGATTACTAGTCTCTCGGGGCCCTCGTGGGACGAGGCCTCTTGGGACGTCTTGGGAGCTTTTTCGGCCGACTGGAGCCCATCTTGGGCGTCCTGGACCGATCGTGGCCCGTCTCGGGGCCCTTGTGGGCCCGAAGATGGCATGCGACAAGCCCCACGCGACAAGCCCCAGGAGATTCGGCAATTTGGAGTCTGAGCCCCCTAAAAGAATTCGCAGTATTTGATGACTGGGGCTCTAGGGGATTCAGCAAAGGTCCTGAGAACACTCCACCTCATGCCTCAAGGGCACGGTGGTGGATACATGTTGAGTGGCACGCGATGACACAAATCCGAGCAGTCGTAACATCATCGCGTCTCTTGGTGGTGCAAACGACGAATACGGATGGTGACGATGATCGGGCCGGGACCATGTCGACGACGACGATGACGACGACGACGACGGTGGTGGTGGTGTTGGTTCTGCTGCTGCTGCTGTTTGCTGTTACTGCTGCTGCTGATGATGATGACGATGACCATGACGATGACGATGACGACGACGGCGACGACGACGACGACGATGATGATGATGCTGATGATGATTATGATGGTGGTGGTGGTGGATGATGATGATGATGATGATGATGATGGTGGTGGTGGTGATATGATGATGATGATGATGATGATGATGATGATGATGATGAGGATGAGGATGAGGATGAGGATGAGGATGAGGATGAGGATGATGATGATCATGATGATAATGATGCTGATGATGATGATGATGATGATGCTGATGGAGGTGATGATGGTGGTGATGATTGTGGTGATGGCGATTGTCATCATTCGTATGATGATGGTGATGATGATAGTGGTGATTGTGGTGATCACGAGGTGGATGAGGAGGGCAGGGAGAGGAGGGATCATGAATCATGATACTGACGCAGATGGTGATTTTGCTGATGATGACGATGTCGAAAAGGAGGAGGATGAGGAGGATGAGGAGGAGGAGGAGGATGAGGAGGAGGAAAAGGAGGAGGAGGAGGAGGAGGAAAAGGAGGAGGAGGAGGAAAAGGAGGAGGAGGAGGAGGAGGAGGAGGAGGAGGAGGAGGAGGAGGAGGAGGAGGAGGAGGAGGAGGATGAGAAGGAGGAGGAGGGTGTGGAGGCATATCAAAAGGGGTACGGATGGGAAGGGGGGGAATGAGGGAATAGAGATAGGAATAGCCATATGGCGCCGCGGCGCCCCCCTGAGCAGGAAGAGCTGGCCTTCGAAGACCTTCAGACCCCCCCTCTCCCGGAAGCCTTCTCCTCCACAGCCAAAGCGCTGAAGTGAGAACCGAATCGGTTCCGGGAGGGGCTGCAGTTTCTGGCCCGTCCCTCAGATCCAGGCCAGGGAACCCTTGTCGTGGCCATGGTTCGCCGTGGCCAGAGAGTGGCCCTGCATTCCTCGCGGCAGCACGGCGATGGCACGCACCCGCCCTGGGCCCCAGGGGTGGCCCGGCCAGGCTGGGGGGGCCGCTGGGGTCGGAGGCGGCAAGGAGGGGGGCGATGACCAGGGGGGGGGGGTGGATATCATGGCGTGGGCCATGATATTTCCCCAGATTTCATGGCGCCTCTTCTTATTTCATTACGTCCCTGGCCCCCCCGCTGGGCCGCGCACATGCCGCCGGTCATGACTTGCACCCCCCCTTGGACACCCCCCTCTTGGCCGCTCCCGATGGGGCAGTCGGCGTCGGCGCGCCCAGGGGACGCTCCGTCGGCGGCCGTCCTCAGCGGCAGCACGACGATCCTCGGGCGCCTGCTCCGCGTGCGGGCGCCGATCCCCTCCCACCTTGCGCAGGTCACCTGCAGCATCCAGCTGGCCCGGGCCACGACGGTGGACACCTTCAAGGGCGCCCCGCCCCACCCCCCTTTCCAGTCGACCTGCTCTTTTTTTGTGCTTTGCTTCCTGCTGTTCTCGGCCTCCATCTTCTCCCTCCCTCCCTCCCTCCCTCCCTCCCCTCCGCCGCCGGGGCCTTCTCGCGCGGAGGATCGTGTTCCTCCTGCGCCGCGTTGCTGTCGCGGAGGCTCGTGTTCCTCCTGCGGCAGGCGCCTTGGGGTTGCGGAGGCTCGTGTTACTCCTGCGACCCTAGGGGCTGCAGAAAATCCGCAGGTGGTCGCGAGGCTCTCCCCCAGCCTGCGAGCGCGGGAAAACAGATGGTGATGATGAGGAATGGGGGGTGGGGGTGGGGGGTATCAGTAGCAACAGCAGGAGCATATGGGTTAGGAGGAGCAGAAGGACCAGGGGACGACAGAAGGGGAAAGGAGGGGTGCGGCCACGACGAGGAAAGAGTTGGAGTCAGAAGTGCGGCCTGCGTTCTCGAGAACACAATTTCTCAAGGGCCGAAAGCCGACAGCAGTCCGTCCTGGGAAAAGCAGATCGCGCCACGTTGTTTGCTTGCTTGCTTGTTGTCTGAGGGGTTTGATTTGACATCGTGTGTGTGTGTGTGTGTTTGTGTGTGTGTGTGTGAAAAGCTGTCTGCGGGAGAGCCCTCCCGACCCCCCTCCGGCGCTGGCTAGTATCATGTGGGGGAGGGGAGTTGCACCCACATGGTGAAATTATTGAGGATGGTGAGGAAGCAGGAGGAGAGAGGATGATGAAGACGGATTGGCTAGGACGAGAGAAGATGCGGATTGGCAGAAGGGGACAAGCGAGGAGGGCGTGTACACCGATCGTCGGCGCAGGACGGGCTTGGTGCCACGGACGGTGAGCGCAAGTGTATCGAATGCGCCTTCTTGCCTTCTTCCTTGTAATCATTGCAGCGGCAGGTGTTGCCCAGATGGGCCGCTTCACGCTCCGAGACGAGGGCAGAACAATCGCTATCGGAAAGATCACCGAGCTGCCAACCAAGGACCGATGTGTGAGGGTATGGGTCGGGGATAGCTGGACGATGGTAACGATGATGAGGCGGGAGGAGGACGATAAGGATAAAGGTGTCTGGAGACACGAAGGGTTCGGAATGGGGATGATGATGGGGTGGAGGAGGAGCAGGCAGAGGAGGAGGAGGCAGAAGGGAAGGAACGACAGTATCAATGAAATGATGGTAGCGTGTATGACAAGGTATGAGGAGTCCGCGGAGGGCTATAATGACGGAATACAGAGTAGGACTGGCGGAGGAAGAAGGTGACACGTATGAGGGAGAGGGGGAATCTGATTATGTTGAGGACTCATACAAGGATTTTGAGGTGTGGGGTTCATCATCAGCTGTGTGTATATATATATATATATAGATTGATGTATGTATACATTTCTATACATATACATGGTTACGGGCGATTCTATAATAGTGTCTGTCGGCCCCTCCCGCCACTGTGCGTGTATTGTGGGTATGAAGCTTATTGATGTTCGTTTGGATTTTATGGGAGGATGCACCGGGGCCTTTTGGAGGCAATTTGGACGCCTCTTGGGGGCCGTGTGGGGGCCTCTTGGGGCCTCTTTTGAGCCTTTTGGGTGTCTCTTGGGGCTTCTCCTGGGCGCCTCTTGGGACCTTCTGGGGGCCTCTTGGGGCGGAAGGTCCGGATTTTCGGTTCGTTTTCGCTGTTTTGGGATCTTTCGGGCCCGTTTTGGGGCCCTCTTGGGTCGTTTTGGGTGCCTCTGGGGGTGTTTGTGGGCCTTCTTGCGTCGCGCCGGAACGTGGAAACACCGATACTGTCAAGATCTTTCAATAACCTCAATGGAAACAGTAAATTTTGCTTCTCGGGGCTCTCTTGGGAAGCCTCTTGGAGGCCTCCTTGGGGCGTCTTGGAGGCGTCTTGGGCCATCTTGGGGCCATCTGGGGCGTCCTGGAGCGATCGTTCGGCGACTCGGTGCCCTCTTGGACCGTCTTGGGGGCGTCCTGGGGCTCCCTGGGTCCGTCTTGGAGCCTTCTTGGGCCCGAAAGAGTCACGCGCCACGCCGCAACATGCAGCGGGAAGCCCCCAGAGATGTGGCAATTTGGGTTCTGGGCCCCAATACAAGACTCCTGAGGAGTGAGGACTGAGGCTCAGGGGATTGGGCGAATGACCTGAAGACACGGCCACTCCGTGCCCAGAGGCACGGTGGCGTATGTATATTTATATATGTATGTATGCACACATCTATATGTGTGTCTTTATATATATATATATATAGGTAGATATATATTCAGACATACATATATATACACACGTATATATGCTTGCATGTATGTCTGTATGCATGTACATTTGCATGTATGATATGTATTGTAGTGTAATTGTAAGGTAATGGACTATACTGTAATGTATTGCATTGTGTTATAATGTGATGTAACACAATGTAACGTAGTGTAGTGTAGTGTAGTGTAGTGTAGTGTAATATAATGTAATGTAATGTAATGTAATGTAATGTAATGTAATGTAATGTAATGTAATGTAATGTATGTATGCATACATGCATGCATGCATGTATGCATGTATGCATGTGTGTACGTGTGTGCATGCATGCATGTATGTATGCATGCATGCGTGTATGTATGTATGTATGCATGCATGCATGTATGTACGTCTGTATGTGTGCATGTATGCATACATGGATAACATGTTTATGTGTATGCATATGTTTATGCATATGTATATGTGTATGCCTATGTCTATGTCTATGTCTATGTATATATTTGTGCAACTGCATACGTGTATAAATGTATACATATATGCACATGCATATGTATTTGTACATGTCTATGTCTATATATCTGTATATGTGTATGTGTATGCATATGTATACGTATGTATATAAACATATGTATACGTATATGCATATGTACAGGTATATGTATATGTATATGTATATGCATTTGTACATGTACACATATATATATATATATGTGTGGATATGCACATGTAAATGTATATGTATAGGTATATGTATAGGTCTAGGTATATGTATATGTATATGAATAGGTATAGGTATATGTATAGGTATAGGTACAGGTATAGGTATAGATCTAGATCTAGGTGCATGTATGTATGTATGTATATATATGTATTTATATATGTATGGCGGTATATATGTATGTATGCATGCATGCATGCAGGCATGTATGTATGCATATATATATGCATACACACATATATATATATATATATATATATATATATATATATATATATATTTACACATATATATATATGTATATGTATATATAGAGAGAGATATATGTGTATATCTGTAAATATAGAATGCCGTTCCTGGGTTGTGGGTATGCAGCCTGTTGGATGTTTGTTGGGATCTCGTGGGAGGCCTCTCGGGGGCCTCTAGGAGGCAGTTTTGAAGCCTCCTGGGGGCCGTTTTGGGGCCTCTTTCGGGCCTCTTGGGAACCTTTTGGGGCCCTGGAGGGCCCTGGGGAGCGCCTCTCGGGGTCTCCTCGGGCGCCTCTTGGGGCGGAAGGCTCGGATTTTCGGTTCGTGCTCCCTCTCTTTGGCCCCTTTTGGAGCCGCCGTGGGGCCTTCTTGGGCCGTCTTGGGCGCCTCTTGGGCCGTCTTGAGGCGCTCTTAGGCTGTCTTGGGACCCTCTTGGAGGACTCTTGGGCCGTCTTGGGGTGGTCTTGGGGGCCTCTTGGGCCGTCTTGGAGCGTCGGAAGGCTGAAAAGGCGAGAACGGTAACATCTGTCAACCACGTAATCAAGATCAATGACTTTTGCCTCCAGGGGCCCTCTCGGGATACCTCTTGGAGGCCTCTTCGTGCGCCTTGGAGGCGTCTTGGGCCATCTTGCTGCCATCTTTGGCGTCTCGAGCGATCTTTCGGCGACTCGGTGCCCTCCTGGAACGTCTTGAGGGCCTCGTGGGGCCCTCTTGTCCCGTTTTGGGGCCCTCTTGGGTCCGAAAAAGGCACGCGACAAGCCACGACAAGCCACGACAACACGCGAGAAGCCCGGGTAGATTTGGCGAATTGGGGTTCGGGTTCCTTCATGGATCAGAGGGTTAGGCAAAGGACCCGAGGACACGTCCACTCCGTGCACAGAAGCACGGTGGCGGATGGAGAGCGGAGACACAGCATGTGATGGAGAGGCTCGGGAGGAGGCACTTGATAGGTTAGCGAGGGTGGATCTCATCACGGAAAGGCGGACCAGCGCGGTTGTAGAACTTCATGCGCGCGTGCGTGCGATTTTATGTCAGTGGCGCGTGTGTTGAGGCGTGTTGCAGCTGATGACATGGCCCCAGGGTTTTGACCCAGTCAGCAGCTCGTGGGACAGATGCCTCTTCGATGTGTGCGCCATGCGTGCGACCGCACTGGCGCACTCATCCTGACATGCTTTCCGCGGTGAGTGCCCTCCCCCCTCCCCTCCTGTGCTCTGCGGCCGTTCCTCGCCGCGCTCTCCTTCGCTTGCAGCCGGTCAGTTCGTTAGCCGAGCGCCCCTGGCAACTCGAGCGCCCGTGCGGACTGCCTCTGCCGTGCCGCGACGAAAAATATGTGCCCTGCATGCAGAGTGCTTGGTCGTGAGCAGCCCGCCGCACGGAGATGCCTCCTCCGTGAAATTTCCGCACTTGGCTGCGCTGACCGGCGGCGGCGGCGGCGTGTGGAGCGCTACGCGCGCCGACGCGCCTTTGGCGACAGCAGCATTTGCTCGCGCAGTCGTTCCCTCCACGCACCATCTGTCGCATCCTCTCTCTGTCTCTCTCTCTCTCTCTCTCTTTTTCTCTCCCTCTCCCTTCCCTCGAAACAGAACGAGCGGCGTAGGCATAAACGTCGGGCGCTCTGGATTCCTTGGATCGGCGCAGGGGCCCCTCCAGCGGCGCCTCCGGCGCCGCCCCAGGGAGAGGAGTCCAGCGCAGATCCAAGAACTCCGCGCGGACGGTCATCAGTCCATGCTTGCGCCGTTTTCAGTTCCTCGGCTCCCTTCTGCTGCCATGCGCCTCGCCCGAGTTTCTCCGCGCTCGCCCGCCAGGAGGGCAAGTGAGCCTTGGGGCGCTGCTGGCACGTGCGGCAGGATCCCATCGTTCTGGCGTGGCGGCGGCCTCCGCCCGGGGGCGTTCAGGTTGCGCGCCGCCAGTGGCCTGGAGTCGGCCGGTGCCGAGCGATTCGGGGCTCAAGAGACGGGGGTCAATGCAAATGGGGGTCGGGGGAAGGAGAAGCGACACCACCACTACCAGGGGAGCCACCTCCAGCGAGGAGGTCCACGAGGCCTCCCCGAGCTGGGGATAGGGGATGTCTCGAGCGAGAAGGGGGGACCACACCACCAGGGCCCCCCCCCCCCTGGCTCCTCCCGCTGGTGGTTCCTGGTGGTGTTGGTGTCGCTTTTCCAAGTCCCTAGGGGGTCAGGCAGGGCACCGGATCCTGCAGGATCATGCGAAGACCCCCTCTGGCTGACCCGGGTTCTCGAGCCGCTCGTGGCCGCGAGGCGGCCGCGCATATTGGCTGCCCCAGGTTTTGGAAGACCTGCGTTGCAGTTTAGTTTCTTTTCCTGCGTTCCAGTTTTTTGGTTTCCTGCTGACCCTGGTCTGGATTGACCCGGGTCAGAAGATCCCCGAACGATCTCTGCCATCGGAGGGCAGCGATCGTTCAAGGCTGAACGGTCCGCGCGGTGCCAGAGACCGAGGCCGAAGGCGCCACGACACCAACCTTGCCGCGGGCAGCAACCGAGCACTGTAGGACGCCCTCTGGAGGTACGGCGAGCTGGTCGTGGGGCGGCCCGTGTTCCCCCAGGCCGCGCACACGCGGGAATTTTGAAGTTTCCTTTGGCCCCAGCGCGCGGATCTTCTTCCGGCGCCCCTGTTGCCGCGGTCGGCCGAGGCCTGCCATCGGCGTGTAAAAGGATGGGCATGCCACCAGATCTCAGTGCATGGAGTGGACTGGTCAACGGGGTTTCTGCTTTGTCTGTTGACGGCGCCATTCTGAAAGTGACTGTGCTGTCTCTTCAGCATGTCGGCTAGCGATGTGATCCACTGTAGCACACGTGGGTCTATTGCAAAGGCCTGCAACATCCAGCTTGCACTTTTGTCTGGTCCGCAAGCCCTTCTCCGTTGTGTTCATAAAGTTGCTGGTCCATCTGGGATGTCGAGGGTGGCTCCCAGGGGTTCAGGGTCCAACGCTGCTGCCAGACGTCGCTTACAGTCTGTGCTTGTTCCACGCATTCGGCCATATTGTCCGTTCTCTGCTCGCTGTCGACCAGCTTGCCCCCAAATTGCGTAGCCTTCGTCGTTTCTGTTGCCTTGGCTGCTTTACGCGTCTCAGTGACGCTCAGCCCCCATCGAACGTTTCCCTACCATCGAAACGTGCTCTGACAATTGCTGTTTTCAGTGGCATTGGCCGGTCCCGCCACCGTGCCTGGGTCTCTTAAAAGCGTCTCTGGGGCGTGTTGGGGTCTCTTGGACGGCCTCTCGGGGCCTCTTGGAGGCCTCTTTGGGGCCTCGTCGATGCCTTCTGGAGGTTTCTTTTGGACGGGGCTAGGACGAGGATCAATCCGCTCCAGAGCGTTCCGGAACGCTCCCAGAGCGTGCCGCTCTGAGAATTCCGCCGCGCCCGAGACATCTTCCGGATCCGCGGGATCCCAGAGATCCTCGATTTATATTCACCCGATTCATTGGCTGACGCCGCACCGCCGACCCCTTGGGGCGGCAGTAAGAGTGAAAAACGGAGTTTGCGGAATGAGCGCGATTTCTGGGGAATCTTGGGGTTTCAGCTTCTTCGGATTTCGTGGGGGGCGGTTGGCGGATCGCGGCTCTGCTCTTGGGCTCCTCTGGGCTCTCCTGGCAGCACTTTTGAGGTCTCTTGGGAGCCGTGTTGAGGCCTCAAGGGGCCTCTTTTGGGCATCTCGGGGGCCTCGTGGGAGCCTCTTTGGGGCCTCTTCGCGCCTCCTCAGGTTCTCTCGGGGCCGAGTGTTCGAAATGTCCATTGGGGTTCCCCTCTGGGCCTCCTCTTGGGGTCGTCCTGGAGCCCTCCTCGGCCGTTTTGGAGGCTTCTGGGGCCGTCTTGGGGCCCTCTTGGGCCGTCTTGGGGCCCTCTTGGGTCGATCTTCAAGGCTTCTTGGGCCGTTGTAGGCTTCGTAAAAGCCCAAGAGGCGAATGTGCTGCAAATTTGCGTTTTCCCTTGGGAACAGGACGATTTTGGCTTGTGGAGGGCCTCTTGGGTCGCCTCTTGGTGGCTTCTTGTGGCGTCTTCGGCGGCCTCGGGGGCCGTCTGGAGGCAACCTCGGCCGATTTGGTGGCTCGTAGCCCTCTTGGACCGTCCAGGGTCCTTTCGGGGCCCTCTTGGCCCGTTTTGGGCCCCCCTGAGGCTCCAAGGGTGCGGCCGGCACTTTTTGCCCCCCCCACATCCTTCCCCCCCTCCAAACCGGCCGGACTGGGCTCCCAGGGGAAGGGGTTTGGGGAGGGGGAGGCATCTCACGCGCCGTGACCCCCAAGGGTCGGCGGATTCTATCCTCTTCCCGTCTTCGTCCACTCCTGCGGGACTCTGCGGGCCTCCGGGGCGCCTCCTGGGGCCCGGGGGCGGTCTCGGGGGCCACCCTGGGGCGGAGGGCCTCGCGTGCGCCCCTCCGAGTTTCTCCCCTCCCGGGCCCCTGCTGGGAGCTCGAGGGGCAGTCTTCTGGAGGATCTCGGGGGCCCTGTGGGTTCGGACGGCCTCAGGCGGAGCGTGCCCCTTCGAGGATCCCCTCCTGGGCCCCTGCTGGGAGCTTGAGGGGCCGTCCTGGGGCAATCTCGTGGGCCTTTTGGGTGGCCTCGGACGCTCGCAGACGGACAAGGCGATCATGCGGAAGTCGTACAAGACAAACATTTTGCCAGCCTCCACGGCCTCCAAGGCGGCCCAGAAATCGCCCGAGAGAGCTTCAGGGGGGCTCTGGAACCATCTTAGGCCATGCTGGAAGTGTGGGGATCCCAGTCGCGCTCCGGAGGAAGAAATCACGCAATAGCGCTCAGGAAGTCCCAGAACTCGGGACTACAGAGAACTCGATGGGACCTTAGCGCACTCCACTTCGTGCCTGGCGCCACGGTGGCGACAATATTCAGTACAGAAAACTCGGAAGGACTTGATGACATTCAGTCATGATTCAGTCATGCAGCAGGAGGGAGAGGAAGCGGTGGAGAAGGAGCAGGAGGAGCAGGACCAGGAGGCGGATGATTCGGCCACCACGCTACGATTGCTGTTGGCGACTGCGGTGCCATTCGGCACATCTGAGCGGCTGGTGGACTGACTGACCCGTTGATCACGATCTTGGGCGTACCCCTCGTGGCAGGGTGTGCAGCTGCTGCCTACCCAGACCCACCCTGCCTTGGCCTGCCCGATCGTCGCCTCGAGACCTGGCCGTGCCCCAGAGGCTGGCTCCCCTCCATCTGCTCGTGCCGGCCGAACTGCTGCCTCCGTGGGCCACTGCCCTGCCTCTGTGGCTGCCCGTGCTGGGCTCGGTGATGTCTCGCTTCGGCGGCACGGAGGGGTGGTCCTTCGCCGGAGTGACCCGTGCTGCGCGGCTCCTGTCGGGGTTTGATAGACCTCCTACCCTGACACGTCGATTCAGAAAGTGGACGTTTTCGGCTCGCGAGAGGGCGTCGCAGCCGTTACTTTCGCGGGTCCAGGTCCGGCGGATTCGGTCCCAGGCCCTTTGCCCTGAGGGGAGGTTTACTGAAGGGAGGCTTGTCCACCGCCGATTCTGGCGGGGTGGGGGGCGCGGGCTGGCCAGACCGGAGCCTGCAGGCCGCCGCAGGCGCGCCGCACATGCAGCGATCGGCAGGCTGCGCACCAGAGGCCACCCCTGCCTGGGTTCGCTCGGCGGCGAGCGAGGGGGGGGAAAGGGAGGAGGAGGGGGGGAAGGGAGCAGGTTCGGAAGTCCCCCGGCCTTCTCGGAAGTTTTCGGCTCTCTCACCGAAGAAGAGGACCTCGCAGCAGGCGCGAGGGCTTCTGAGAGGCCCCGCCGCCTTCTGGGCGGGCCGGCTCACCCCCTGCGAGCAGGCGATGTGGTGGCCTGCGACGCGCGCCCGCCAGCCCTGCGGCCAGCTTGGGGCTCGAGCTCGGCCCTGCCCCCCCCTCCCGCGGCGGCCCCCTCCCTCCCCCCGCCGCCGCCGAAGCGGAAGGCCCACTTCCCGGCCGGGGGCGCTGGGCGCACACCGGCGCCGATCCGTGCCGGGTCCGGGAGGGGTGGAGCCGCCCGGGGCTCGACCCAGACGGTGTTCCGGGGGTTTCGTGGGCCGCTCCTCTCGTTGTGGCCTCGTCCTGCAGCGGGGGCGGAGCGGAGGCGAGACGAGGGAGAACGACAGCCAGGCGAACACGGAGGGCACTGTTTTGGTCGAGCCCCGGGAGCCGCCCTCCAGGCCTCCCCAGGAGTTCTCTCCGGGATCGGCGGAGCCGCCCTCCGGGCCTCCCCTGGAGTCTTGGCCCCGCTCGGACGTGTGCATTTTTTTCTCGGCGGAGATCCTTGAGGAGAATCCTTAAGTCGGGTATCCTTAAGTATCCTTAAAACATACCCCCAAAATACGCCCAAAAGGTACAAAAAACTCAAAAGATAGTCCCCAGACTCTTGTTGGAATATTTTTCGAGAATCCCCCTGTAGGGGGACAGGCCCGACTTACGAGTATCCTCGATCATCCTGCGACAAAAAGGCACGCACGACACCGAGACAGGCACGGGGAATGGGCGTCCGGGCGATGGCAGCGCGCTGTCGGCGCGCACACGAAGGGGTGGCGCGAGGGCGGGTCCGCCGGCCGAGAAGGCCAGGGGCTTGTCAGAAGGCGGAGGGTTCTTCTCCTCCTCCTCCTCCTCCTCTTCCTCCTCCTCCTCCTCCTCCATTCCTCCTCCTCCTCCTCCCTCCTCCTCCTCCTCCTCCTCCTCCTCCTCCCTCCCTCCTCCTCCCCCTCCCCCTCCTCCTCCTCCATTCCTCCTCCTCCTCCTCCTCCTCTCCTCGTCGTCCTCCCCCTCCCCCTCCTCGTCCTCCTCCCCCTCCCCCTCCCTCCTCCTCCTCCTCCTCCTCCTCCTCCTCCTCCTCCTCCTCCTCTGGGCGCTGGCCAGAGCTGGCCGCTCAGGCGCGCCCAGGGGAGGTAGGGCAGAGAGCAGCATGGACGGTGGACCTCCCTCTCCCCCCTCCTGAACGCGGGTCGCTCCTCTTCCTCCTCCTCCTTCTCCTCCTCCTCCTCCTCTTCCTCCACCATTCCTTCTCTTTGTAGATAACTTCTCCCTGTCGCACCCCGAGGCCAGTTTTAAGGGCGGGCCGGGCGTTTCGCCTAAGACTCCCTTACCATGACTCTGAAGCTGAAAAGTGATAACAGTTTCACGGATGGAGGGCGGGGCGTCTTCAAACTGTGGCTCTCGCCGTAGCGCCGCGCACATTCGCTTTCAAAATTTGCAAGATTTTCGCGGATTGCGGGCGGGTCATTTTCAAAATGTGGCTCTCACCTTAGCGCCGCGCGCGTTCGTTTCGAACATTTGAAAAAGTTTCATGGATTGAGGGCGGGTCGTTCTCAACATGTGGCTCTCGTTTTAGCGCCGCGCACATTCGTTTTCATCATATGCATGAGTTCCACGGACTCCCATGATCAACGTACCAGAAATGAGGTTCTGGAAGGATTCAGGATTATCCGGGTGAAACAGTTATGTTGATTCGCGGTGTAGACGTCCCCCAACAGTCAGGTTGATACGTGGCGTTGAAATCCCGAGAACGATGTTTTGGCATGTTTCAGGATCTTCAAACGGTTGTTTTCCGACGAGGCAGTTCCCTTAATGGAACTGAACCGCTGTAGGGGCTTATGAAGAGGGAGCTTGGAGGGAGGTTGAATTCCAACATTTTGGCTGCCTCTTGGGTTTGCACTGGTCCTCCTCGTCCTCCTC